ACGAAAGGATGGTCAACTACTGCTGAAGCTGAAAGGGATACAACAACTTTACGAGCAATGGAGACAACATGTTCATGTACGACTACACAATAGGCAATATAACAACGGAATGTAGCAGCAGCGCTATACAGAGACATGTTAAACTTACCTTCCCTATCCCTTCCTCCCCTCCCCTCCCGTTTCTCTCTCTCTCTTTCTCTTCTTATGCCTTAGACCTCATGCATACACATAAAATTTATAGGCCAAATAAATAATACCTTTACCAGGTAGAATTGCGAAGATAAAGCAAACAGGTAATCAACACTAAACAAGAAGGATTGCAGGCAGTAAAATCACTCCAGCCGCGTGATCCTCCGGGCGTGAGATCCATACTTATAGCCGCAATATCATGATGAATATAATGTCGATCTACACGTATAGGCCACTGCTCTTTTGAATATAACATCAACATCAACATGTGCATCTCGAGGCAATCCTGAATATGACATCAACATAGACATCGGGACGCAGATGCTCCGTTGAGGATAAAATCAACATAGATATGGAYACTYRGACGSTTTGTTACAGAGGACAATTTCTAATGCAGRCCTAGACGTAGACCCTAACCTAGACCTTTGACTCAAGCACATGCCCTGCATTGCTATTTTGAATATAAGATCRGACCTTGASCAAGACCCTAACCCGRACATCTATCCAAAGTCCAACACCAATGCTCTTTCGACTATAACATCAAAATGAACATGTGCATCTCGAAGCAATCTTGAAGATGACTTCAACATAGATATCGGGACGCAGATGCTCCGTTGAAAACAATACGGACATAGATACGGATACCAGGACACTTTGTTAAAGAGGACAATGCCTACTGCATGCCGACACCTAGACCTCTGTCTTAGGTCGCTGCTCTCGATTGCTATTTTGAATATAAGATCAGACCTTGACCACGACCCTAACACAGACTTCTGACCCAAATCCAACACCTACGTTATTTTGCCTATAACATCAAAATCAACATGTTAGACCGTTTCTATCCTGAAGATGACATCAACATAGACATCGGGACCCAGATGCTCCATTGAAAATAAGATCAACATAGATATGGGGATTCAGGCGCCTTTTTTAAGTGGACTTTAAATTGGACCGCTGCCTCGGATTGGTATTTGAAATATACGATCAGACCTTGACTATGACCCTAACCCGGACATCTGACCCAAGTCCAACACCTATGTTTTTTTTTACTAAAACATCAACATCAACATTTGCATCTCAAGGCGATCATGAAGATGACATCAACCAAAGCCCCATTACCCAAATGCTCTGTTGAAGATAAGATCAACATCGATATGGGGACCCAGCTGTCATTTTTATGTGGCCCACACAGCTTGGCCTTTGACCCAGATGCTGAGAACTTGACCAATAACTCGTTTTCTACGTACTCAGACCGTTGCCTTGCATATGGAGTCTTGGACACTTTTTTTTTAAGTGGACAATGTCAAATGCAGGCAAGGACCCAGACCCTAACCCGGACCTTTGACTCAGACCGCTGTCCTTCATTGCTATTTAAAATATAAGATCAGACCTTGACCACGACCCTTACGCGGACATCTGACTCGGACATCAAAATCAACATGTGTATCTCGAGACAAGCTTGAAGAAGACATTTACATAGACATCGGACCGAGATGCTTCGTTGAAGATAAGATCAATATAGATATGGACACCTGGATGCTTTGTTAAAGAGGACTATGTCTACTGCACGCCTAGACCCCGACCCTAACGCAGACCTTTGACTCAGACCCGTACAGTGCATTGTTGTTTTGAACATAAGAACGGACCTTGCCAAGGACCCTAACACGAACTTGTTACCTGTATCCAACACATATGCTATTTCGACTATAACATAAAAGAATCAACATGTACATCTCGAGGTACTCTTGAAGATGACATCAACATACACATTAGGACCCAGATGCTCCATTGAACACAAGATCAATATAGATATACGGACCCGGAAACTTTTTTATGCGGATAATGTCAAATGCAGACTTGGACCCAGATCCTAACCCCGGTGTTTGACTTCAACTGCTGCCCTGCATTTCTATGTTAAATATAAGATGAGACCCTGAGCACAACCCTCCCCGAACATCTGGCCCCAGTCCAACCCCTACGCCATTTCGACTACAACATCAAAATCAACATGTGCATCTGGAGACAATATTGAAAATGACATCAACATAGACATCGGGACGAAGTTGCTTCGTTGAAGATAAGGTTAAAAAAAATAAAAAATAAAAACAATAACGACGTTCAGATGGACACAAAGGGTTAGGTAACGTTCTGGATCACCAGTAGGCAGCAGAGTCAGAGTTGTGGAAGAACTTTGCAGCGGTTTGAAAGTCAAACACCAGGCATAGCTAGCACAAAGCACAAACAACATGTGTCAGAGTGGACACTACATAGCACCGGGGATAAAACAGAGCACATCGCAAGAGGGAGACAATGCGTACCACTTAGCAAGTCACACAACCGCTAGTTCACCGTGTATCTCAGAGCCTAAAAAAGGTTAAACAGCAAGCAAGAAATGCCTGCAGCAAAGAAATCAAAGAAAGCACTTAGAAAACACATTAGCAAACACTGGAGGTGACGTGGTGTGACTCTTCAAGTTGTGTTCGGGCATTTCCATGACACATTTTCTCTGTTGCGGCCGGCTCCCATGGAAGCACCCAATAACTGACCACGTCCCGCAAAAGTCAGTTTGTCTGTCCAAGGAGGTTGCAGCATGATTCAGTCCATGACCAGACGCCACAAGGCGAGGGACAAATCTGTTGCAAGAAGGTTTGTGGTTAACGAAGGCCTCTCTCTTTCTCTCTCTCTCTCTCTCTCTCTCTCTCTCTCTCTCTCTCTCTCTCTCTCTCTCTCTCTCTCCACACACACACACACACACACGGAGCGAGGAAGCATGTGCAAAAAATAGAAGGAAACGAAAACATCATCCTCACAAACGGAAAGGGGCACCAGGAAGAAAGAAACAAAATTACGAAGAACTCAATTACAATGAAACTTTTGGCAGCGGAGTATAAATTATTGACAGCATTGGAGAACAGAAGAAGAAAAGACAATAAGCGTATGAAGGTTCATGAAACATATCTATAATATTGGCAATGGAATTTTAGGAGGTTGCAGGCCCGGACACTGTTTTTTCTCTAGATACATCTATGGCGGACTCTTTCTGAACTATCAGCATCTGTCATCCTGCATTTTTCGGCAGCTGTAACGGAAGCACAGGAAGGAGCGGGCTGGGTTAGGTAAGTGTTCACCCTGGTTTCATCACCTACAGTGGTCTCAACAAAGGAAATAATGGGGCTCAAAAGCTGCACAAACAAGTACGACAAGGTGAAGAAGGAAAGCAGAGAGCAATGATGATAAACAGTCCGGGTAGCAAGGGAGACTGCGAATAACAATGGGAAAAAAAGAAAAAAAAAAACAGAAAAGGCAAAGAGTAAAGGAAGAATCTCTTGCGGGACACGCGTTAGAAATGAACGCTGACAAGAGCATTGGCATTGGCCTACACAAGGTGGAAACGCATAAATCGAGAAATTGTGTCTACGGTTTAGGGTTTAGGTGCAGAAACGAATGAGAGACGGTTTACGGTTCCAGAGCATGGTTTACGGGTTTAGGGTCTTAGGGTTTCAAGGTTTTGGGGCTGAAATTTAGGGTTTAAGGTGTTCAAAGAAATGTACTCTTCCTCCCCTCCCTCCCCCCCCCGGCCATCAAAACCTTAAGTTGTCCTCTGTTGTCGTTACTCGCTATCTAGTTCTTACTAGTACGACGGTGATTTCACCCCCCCCCCCCCCCCCCCCCCCCTCTTTTCCCAGAGAGCCCACAACCCTCCCCCCCCCCCCCCCCCCCCCCCCCCCCCCCCCCCCCCCCCCCCCCCCCCCGCTCCTCCATTTCTTCGTGCCGACTCCCCCGCGG